CGCGGCTTCGCGCTTGGGCTGGCGTTGCCCGGGGGTCCGCCTGGGGCAGCGGACGGAGGGAGGCTGGACACAGGAACACGGTACCGCTCGAGGTAGTCCTCCTCGCTAGCCTCCGAGTCAGCGGTAGCCGAGTCAGCGGTAGCCGCCCGTGACGGCGGCGACGCCGCAGCAATGCCCAAGGACCGGCGTGACCCGACCGATGCCGGGGAGGAAGCAGGCGAGCTCGGACCAGCAGCAAGCACCCCAGTGGTGTCGAGCTCTCCGGAGGCACCCGACGTCACAGTGAGGGACGGAGACGCCTCGCCAGCTCCGCGCCGATCGTCGGCGCCACTCGACGTGTTTCCCCCATCGGAGTCGGAGACCTCCGGCGAAGACTCCCCCTCGGGCGACTCGACAAAGTCCGAGGAGGAGCTGTCCTCTGGCTCGAGAAGTGCTTGCGCCCGCAAGGGCGTCATGCGCCTCGCACCAGACAAGAGCGCCTCCAGCGTCAGCTGCATAGTGAGGCGCTGATAGGTGGCGGCGCGTTTGCGAGCCAAGACCTCAGCAGCAGGGCCGTCATCAGGCACGAAGTGCCGACCAAACGCCGCATCCTCAAGAGGCATCGAGCGCTGAGCAATGATGTCCGCGAGATACCATACCAGATGAAGCGGAGCCTCCGCTTTAGGGTTTAGGGTTTAGGGTTCCGGGTGTCAGGATGCAGGGTACCGTCCGTCGAGATGGCAAGAGGGATGAACGCTCGAGGAGGAGTAGTCATAGCATATGCAGCGCGATGTTTGCGAATCTTCTCAGACGCTGCAACATGGAGGGCGTCGAGGTTGACCTCCCCCCACTTGGTCAGGTCGGCAGAGCTACCAATGTAAGGGTGGACCAACGTCACGTCCGCCATCAAGCCCTCGTACTGCTCGGACCCTCGATCGCGGATTCCAGGGATGTGGATATCGCCCTTCATCTTGCGGCCATGAGGATGGGAGGGTACCTGCCGTCGAGAACGAGGATCCCCCACTGTATCGATGACGCTCTGAAGACCAGCTTCGTTCAGCATCGACCGAATCGTACGAGTAAGGTTGTCATGCGCCGTGGGAAGCTTGGAGGATCGGCGTTTGCAGGTCTGGAGATGATGTGCAGCAACGGAGGGATCGAGCTCGCGCTGACATCCATCACATTTCGTCGGACACTGGCAGATCGGCATGCCATGGAGATAGCAGTCGAGCATCTGAGCATAGCGGTGCGGGAAGGCCTTGAGGGGTGAGCGAAGATGGTAGACTGCAAGACCCTATCCTGCGACTTGAGCGAGTGTGTCCTGCGGCTGTGCAAGGTGAGGATATCACGCTGCTGATCGGTCAGCGCAGCGCGAGCATGCACATGGCGAGGGAAGACGCGCATGACAAGAGGGGTCACATTTCGCTGCGCAGGGGGAGGAATGAAGCGCGCAAACCAGGGATGTGTACCACAGATGCCGGGGGGCGTCCTGCGTCATCAGGCACAGCAGCCGGGGCAGGTGGGATCGCCGCGCCATCTGCAGCCGGTGCAGGAGCCTTCACACGACGGTAGAGGATCGCTCCAGCATTATGAACGAAGTCGTGCGCCTCAACGAAGAAGGTCGCCAGAGGATGCTTCTGGGCACGGAGAGATCTCGAGCAGTGAACGTCCAGGCTATGAGGAGAGGGCAAGGTCCGGGACATCGGCTGGTCAGAGTACCAAGCGAGGAAGCGAGCGATAGCCGTATAGTAAACAGCGGGGTGTAGACCCTCAGAGGGCATGAACTCGTCCCCTCCCCGACTATGCGGAAGCTCCCGCTTGAACCTCGCAAACTCTAGCAGGTCGGGATGCGCGGCGAGGTACTGCGAGGAAGGCCAGCGGTGGTATTTCTCAAGCGCCAGGTGGACAGAGAGGTCAAAGCGACGAATCTGTGATTGGACCCGCGGGAGAAACGGAGAAGACCCCTGGAGGAAGAAGCGCAGCTTCTGGAGATGGCTCGCCCTCACCAGCGTCTTGAACATGAAGCCATGCTGGACGAGCCCGAGCTTCGAGAGCTCTTCGTTGAGGGTAGAAACCTTCGCTCGGAGCTGACTAGCATGAAATCCATCCGTGCCGATAGGCAGGCCGCCAAGTGTAATCCCGCCAGTGACGACCTCGAAGTGAAGAAGTTGAGTCTTGAGACGGCGCTTAAGGCTCTTCTTCAGCTGCGAGAGATCAGGGTGTTGATGCCAGGAGGGGATGTAAACTTTCGACTCGCGAGGTTGAATCTCTAGCTTCAGATCAGCCACTGAACATGTACTTCTTCATAGCGGACGTAGCTGCAACGGCATCCTCGAGTGGACCGACAAGCACGACGTTGTCAGCATAGGCCAAGACTCGAACAGAGGGAAAAAGCTCTGCGATATGGAGGAGCAGGGGGTGGATACTGTGGCAGAAAAATACGCTGGAGGGGACATCGCCCTGACAGACGCCCGAGGTACACTGAACGGAGGCTGACTGACTTTTGTGAAAGAGTCGAAGGTCAGCAGAGTCTCCATAGTAGCTGGAGAGGTAGGAGGCGAACAAACGGAGATGCTCGCAAGAGGGCAAGCTTAGTAGTCGCGACTCGCACGTCCCTCGATTGCGTCGAAGAGAGCCTGGCGGTCGAGGGAGTTGAAGGCGTTCTTTGCATCCAAACTCACCAGCACTGTGGGGTTGGCAACATCCTCATCATCACCGCGAGCGTGAAGGGGCAGGAGCGCTGACGCGGTTTGCGAGAACTTCAGACAGCCGTCTCGATCGAGTCCGAACTGAATCGCTCGAGGGTGAGACGAGAGGAAGTGCTGGTCAAGAAATGAGCGAATCGCTGCCAAAGCAAGCTTCGTCGCGAGACCAGGTTTATCAGCTCCCTTGGAGAGGGGAATAAATCTGCCTCCTCGACGAATGGCTGACAGGGCAGGAATAAGAAGATCCGGCATTTGGCCAAGAAGGACCCCTTGGAGGATATGTTTGCAGTAGAGCTTCAAAGCTGCAGGATGACTAGAAAGGGGTGACAGGTGTTGCCGAATCCTCCACCCTTGGTCATCGGTCCCCGCAAAGGAGCTGTAGCGCTTGATCGCCTGGATCAGGCTAGTGGTGTCGAGGATGTCAGTCAAATCCACCTGCAGTACTGCAAGCGCTTGCTGGGTGAGATGATCCGCGGAAGCACTTCCAACCAAAGGCAGGCGACGCACCATCAGGGAACTTCTCTTGTGCTTCAGCAACAAGATCAGCGAAAGATTCAGCCCTGTAGATGCCGGAGCTCAGTAGTGTCCGTACCGCCCGATGAAGGTCACCCGCAGTGAACTGATGAATCGCCAACTGTCTTTGGCGCTCGCTCGCAGAGTTGGCTCGCAAACGCGCCGCCACCTATCAGCGCCTCACCTATCAGCGCCTCACTATGCAGCTGACGCTGGAGACGCTGACTCGGAGGCTAGCGAGGAGGACTACCTCGAGCGGTACCGTGTTCCTGTGTCCAGCCTCCCTCCGTCCGCTGCCCCAGGCGGACCCCCGGGCAACGCCGCCGGGCTCCTTGTCGGCGGCTGCCCTTTCTCCGTCCGCGGCCGCCCGCTTTGTGGCGGCAGCGGACGTCTCGACTGACAGTGGTCAGTCGGCTGCCTCCGGGTATCGCGTGTAAGGGATTTTATTCCTCCTGCATGCTCCTGCTGCTTGTTGCTTGATTGCCTGACCCTTAGGCTGCTTGTTTGCGCGGCTTCGCGCTTGGGCTGGCGGTGCCGCGTCTGGGTGCCAGCAGTGCTGGTTCTTTTCGGGCTTGTGTTTTGTGTGTGTTTGTGCAGCTTCTCGCTGTGTGCTGTGTGCCAGGAGGTTTAGCTTGTTCCTGCTTTGTTCTGCTTGAGGCACTTTTTACCTTCTGCCAGTAAATCCATTGTTGCCATGAAGATGGATACGGATTTACTGGCAGAAACAAAGCAGGAACAAGTTGAGGCACTTTTTACCTTCTGCCAGTAAATCCACTATTCCAGCTGAACCTCCAGGCACGAAGATAGCAGTCCAGCATCTGAGCATAGCGATGCGAGAAAGCCGTGAGGGGATTGTAGCTCGAGACTCGCATCGGAGAGTGGCTCAGGTCACGCTCAGGAAAATGAGCGAAGATGGTAGACAGCAAGACCCTGCTTGTCTGCGCGGCTTCGCGCGTGGGCTGGCGGTGCCGGGTCTGCTGACAGTAGGACGAAGATTTACTGTGTAGTTTACTGGCAGGGGTAAAAGTGCCTCAAGCAAAACAAAGCAGGAACAAGCTGAACCTCCTGGCACACAGCGCAGAGCGAGAAGCTGCACAAACACACACAAAACACAAGCCCAAAAAGAACCAGCACTGCTGGCAACCAGACGCGGCATCGCCAGCCCAAGCGCGAAGCCGCGCAGACAAGCAGCCTAAGGGTCAAGCAATCAAGCAACAAGCAGCAGGAGCATGCGCGCCTCGCTGTGCGCTGTGTGCATGCAGGTTTAGCTTGTTCCTGCTTTGTTCTGCTTGAGGCACTTTTTCCCTTCTGCGAGTAAAACTTCTATATTTGGAGCAGCGCCGGCTCCTTGTCGGTGGCTGCCCTTTCTTCGTCCGCGGCCTCTGTGCGGCCGACAGTGGTCAGTCGGCTGCCCGGCCCGGAGTCAGGGTATCGCCGTCGTGTACTATGATGAGGGCGTTCACGTCCCCTGCGACTCGTAAACATTCACCCCTGCTGTGGTGGCTTCCCGCGTGGGCTGGCAGTGTAGGGTCTGGTTGCCAGCAGTGCCAGGCTGGTTACTTTTGTTATGTTTCGTGTGTTTGCGCCGCGTTTGTTGCATATAGAGTTGTACTCGCCTTGTTGCGTCAGCAGACCCGGCACCGCCAGCCTACGCGCGAAGCCGCGCAGACATCGCTAGGAGGGGTAACAAGCAGCAGGAGGGGACGTCCAAAATGAAACTCCCTTAGACGCGATACCCGGAGGCAGCCGACTGACCACTGACAGTCGAGACGTCCGCTGCCGCCGCAAAGCTGGCGGCCGCGGACGGAGAAAGAGCAGCCGCCGACAAGGAGCCGGCGCTGCCTGGGGGTCCGCCTGGGGCAGCGGACAGAGGGAGGCTGGGCACAGGCCCAGGAACCGGAGCTGGGCTGGGGGTATGGTTTGGCCAAGGATACGACGAAGAGACTGCACCTGCGAGGGTTCAACGGATACTTGACTCGTCTCACACGAGATTACTCGGACCCCACACCCGCCGTCTGGCGAACAGGGAATCGGCAGCTGGTGCCCTCCCACAAGGAACTGTCCCCCTGGATACGGCAGCAGGAGGATGGGACGAGACCATCCTTCACTGGAGCCACAGGGTTGAACGGCCGACGGAGCAGAGGAATGGGCCCATCCTCACCCGCACTGTATGGTGGCAGGCAGAATATACGACACTCAAAGCACCAGAGGACCATTGAAGATCATCGAGCGAAGTGCCAGCACCGTACCAGAGGGACAATTCAATCATCCGCGCTAACAATGCCCACGGCGAAACGAGATATGGGTATGGCACAGCTGCATTCGATTACAGAAGTTGTTCATGTCATACAAGCAGCGAAGGCATGGAGCGACAGCCAGGCGACCCGATGATTACAGGAGCATGGACCAGCCACCTGGGCAGGAAGGTTCTTGGCAGCCACAGGAATAGTGGATTTACTGGCAGAGGGTAAAAAGTGCCTCAAGGGTAAAGGAAGGCAAGCGATCATGAGGACAGCAAGGCAGGCGATGCCCCTACCAACGACACGCTACGTCAATGGGGAAGACACGATGGTCCCACATCCGACTCACCTGCGCGGCCATGCATAGGGCCATTCACATGGCTCACAACAAGGTCATGCGCGTCCTGCAGGATGGCCTGGTCAGGGCATGGAAGAAGCACGGGCTAGTCTTGGGAGACTCCCATGAACAGCATCCCCGGACCAACGAGATGGGGGAGACGACCCGCGTCTGTGTAATGGAACTGCTGCGCTCGCCCAACAGCTGCGCATCCAGATGCACCACGCGCAAATTGCGCAGCTGTTGGGCGAGCGCAGTCCAACTCAAAGAAGCAACGGCAGGAAATGCTTCTTTGAGTTGGACTGTGTGAAGGGTTATCGAATCGGTTGATTTTTTGTACTGTCTACAGCACCATTCACAGTGCGATCGCTAACTTGAAAAGTTAGCTCTTGTTGTTGGGCTAGTTGGATCACTTAAAGAGCATTTCAAGTTCGGGTGTTTATGTACACCCCACGTCTATGTCTAAGCATCTACAATACAAACGCTTGTGAAACCTCCATGGATAAACAAGCAGGTAGGATGCCGTTATCTTCTCTTGCCTGCTAGCTTCACCTCTCACAACAAGCTTGAGCAGGCCCATGCCTCCAACCAGATGGTATCTGCAGGGTCCTCAGCAACAAGATGTTCCGCATAAGGAATACCTGTAGGGCCTGACATGTTGGGCTAGTTGGATCACATAGATAGCATCTTTTGTCCCTTCCTTTTGAAGTCATCTGCTGCGGAGGGATGAACCCACTCCACGGTACCATCTCTGGCATTGACAAGTCGAAGCCCAGTCTTGTTGACCCAATTCCTGCCATGCCGTCAGCATCCCGCACTGGCAAGGGGGAAGACAGGTGTTACTTGTCAATGTTTTCCATCAGCTCGACAACAGCTTTGTTACTTCGTCTCAAATCATCACGAAGCGCATCCAACTTTTCTTGCTGCCTCTCTCTTGCGTTGAGCGACTCCTCTATGGGACTCAGATTGATCTGCTCCTGTACAGCCATTTCCATGACGAAACCACTGAGAGCCTTGACCGCTTCTAGTTCGCGATTTTCACGGGGAACCTGATCTCCCAGGGCTGGACATGGCAGCCCCATGCACCAGGCGCTTGCGAGTGCGATCTGGAGGACACACAGCGCGGCTTTGAGGTAGGGCAGGGCTCGCTTGAACCAGCTCTTCATGTCCTGAGTCTCAAACCTCTCTGCACAGACCTGAAGACTGACGGGACATATGAATCGGATGTAAACCTTGTCGTAGATCCAGTGCTTCGGATTCAACCTGCTCATCAGGCTCTTCTTGCGCTCGGCTGGATAGATCCAAATGAGATGGGGAGCCAACTTGCCGTCAGCCTCTGCCAAGCACAGTCGATTCAATAGGAATACTGCTGATCGGCTGGCAGTGACTGCATCTTCTAGTTTGTCTTTAAGATCCATGATCTCAGTCTCAACATTGTTGAGCTGTTTCTGCATGTCCCCCATCTGCTTGAGCACCTTCAACAGCATCTCCTCCTGATCTTTGCCTTGTTTTGATTGGCATGTCTGCAAAGTGGCTTTAAATGTCTCGCTGACACCTTGTAGACAGTATGAGCAGTTGCCTGAGACCAGCGTCGAAAAATCCTCGATAACATGACAGATTTTGTCTAGTTGAATCCGAATTTCTTCAGAATTACCAGCTGCTGTGGCGTCGACCCTAGGAAGCTGGCTCAGAGCCCGAGTGAGCTTCTTCAACTCCTTTTCGACCCCCTCATTGTTTGCTGCCTGCGAGATAATTCCGTCAAGCCCCTCGCGGATCAAGGGTTTAAGTTCAGAGATCTCCAGCTTGATAGAGCTCAAAGTCTCGGTCACCTGATCGACCTTTCTGTGAAGACCAGTTGTTGTTTCACTGTCTGTGAATAGAGCTCGCTCCCTCATGCACTGCAGCACAGAGCTTCGTTGTGCAGGATCTGACCTGAGGACACCTCCAACGCCATCCCGCCCAAAGAGAAAATGCTTCAATTTCGTGTCACTCGATGAGTCGGTCAAAACTTCTCTTGCTTTGCCTTCAAGGATGCTTTGACTCCCACGCTCTTTCCAGAATCCCACGATCTGATCGGGTTCATTCAGACCAATGAGCGAGTAAAGGTTTTGTCCTGTGAAAACTTCGAACACTGTCATGCCCAACGACCAAGCGTCCATCAAAAAGGCTGCGGGAGCTCTGACGCGATTCGTCAGCTCTGGCGCACAGTAGTTGACAGTCTGACGAGTAACTTCTGTCCCTACCCTTCCCGCTCCATCAAAATCTGCTGCCTTTATTTGCAGATCCTTAAAGACAACAAAGTTTGCAGGCTTGACATCCAGCCAGACCAGATTCTGTTGATGTATGTAAGAAACAATCCTCCCGAGCTGTTGAGCGACTCCCTGCTTGTGAAATTGCCTCACTTCTGATTCTGACTCAGCGATCCAGTCCGCAAGCGATCGTTTCGCTCGCTCCGTGACAATTGCAAGAAAAGAAGGGCTTTGTCCATCCAGACTAAATTTTGCAACATGTATACATTCTACGATATATTTGTTGCAATCAAGCTTTCTGTAGATATCTAGCTCATGTTGAAGTAATCTTTCCGAATTTGAATCCTTTGCGGCCTTGAGGACACCCTTCTTGTCCTTGATTCCAGCCCTCACAGAACAATGAAATACATAGTAATGGCCGGACGTCGACATGTTTGTGAGACTTTGGATTGTGATGGATACAGGATCCGCATCCTTTTGCTCTACACCCTTGTGCAGCACACACCCTTTCCCCCCTTGCTTCTTCTGCTCCTCCTCTTGCTGCACCAGCTTTCGCCTCTCCTCTTCCTTTTGCTTTGTTTCATGCTCATCCTGCTTCATCTGCACTGTTTGGTCCTGATTTACCTTTCGGTCCTTCCTGCCGGTCTGGCTCTTGCAAAACGCGCAGCCGTACTACAAACAGGATCCATCAGGCTCTGACATATCAAATCTGCTGTATAATTATGCACCTCGTCGTAACCTGTCCATCCCCTTGACTTCGCGCACTGACAACTAAAGTCAATACCCTCCCTCAAACACATCAATTATGTGAAGTTTGCATTGAAATTACTCAACTTACATTCTGTCACCATTGTCGGTCCATCCATCATATATCAAGCAATGTGTCAGAAGAGCAGTCGGGCAGCGAAAGGGAAAACTTACACAGCACTGACGAGAACACGGGAAAAGAAAGCATGAAAAAAGAAAAAATTGACAATCAAAACAAAACGATAATTGCCAGCAAAAAGATCGACGCAAACGTGAATCGCATGAGTGAAAAAGAAAGAAGTTATGGAAAGAGAAGAGAAAAAAAGAAGATATCAGTCACTTCGAAACCCCACAAGAATCACTGCATAGGCTACTTACATACTGTCCAACCATCACCCAACCGTCATGATTGAAAAACAAAATTGTCAGAGATCTCTCTAACCGCATTGGAGCATATCAAAACTTACGAACTATCCAGCATAATCGAAAAATCATCGGAGAATATCCAACACAAGAGAACAAATCCATGTCAGTCCACTGAATTTCTGCATCTGTTTATGGATGCTTACAAACTGAATAGCCCCGTCCAAGATGAATCCAACCAAAAATCAATCCAAAGAAAAGAAAATGTCAGACCGATTGATGCCTTGAACACTTGCTTCTCGAGGTCACTTACATACTGCCGCGAGGTCCGTCCGATTGGGAAGAGTCAGAAAACCCAGAAAAGAAATTTCAGTCGAAGATGTTCTGATTGAATCTCTGCACTGAGGACTTACAGGCTGTTTAAAAGTATTCCATAGATTAGGAGCAAAGTGTGATGACGAATGGCAAAATCAACATCAGTGCCTCGGCATTCGGGTTGGTAAAGACATACATGACAAAACTTGCGATCAGTGTAATGGTCAGTTGCAAGCTTTGGACAGTTTCGACATTTTCCGCAAGCACCATCGACGAATGTGGCCTGTCAAGCTTCAGTATCTGATCGATCGCTGTCACATCATGCGATCCAATACTCACATGCTGTCCCGCCCGTACAATTCCATCCGAAACAAAACCAATGAAACCACAAGAACTTGTCAGCAAACTTATACATCTTCACCATCTGATCCTATACTTACAATCTAAAAGGTCCACCGCAACACATTCGAGCAGACCGAGGAAGCAGAACCAAAAATGTCAGCCGCGTCGACCTTAGCGTTTGCCTCAGATCCAACTCACCACCTATCCAGTCCCGTTGCCAGTTCATACAAGCAACAAAAAACGCATAAAAACAACTTCTCAGATGTCATAGCGCCAAGGCAGACCAACACAGAAGCTCACCGCCTGGGGGGATTCCGATAAAAGCCAAAAGAGTTCAGAAGCTCGAAGCCTCACAGTCAAGCTAACTTACACATTTCGAGCGCTGGGTGGTGCCTGGATCAATCATGACCTAGAATTCAGTCAAAACAAATGAGCTACGAGAGACATTGATTCATGTCGACAAGCAAGAGATGATCAACTCATGGACTTCTCTCTTGCCTGACAAGCTTTGCATGTTCTGGACATCGTTTGCCGCTAAGCGGGATTTTTACTCAATTTTTCAGGAAAAAAATGTGTCCGACAAGCAGGGTGTCCTACAAAGTTTGCGCAATGAATTCAGAAGAGGAAGAAACACAGTGCTGTAAGCGATTCTGAGTAGATGAGAGCATTCTTTTCCTCTGTACATCATAGCTAGCCATATGACAATGGATGTATGATGTACACAATGATCTTGAAGTACAATCTCACGATTCAAATCTCATCAACTTGTGATATTGAATCGCAAGGATAGAGACAACTACTTCGCAAGGATAGAGACAGCCTCAAACTCCTTTAGTCTACCATCATCTTCGTTCATTCCTGCACGTCCATTGCCATTCACTTTTTCTGTACCGCTTCGTGTTGACTTCTCAAATGCACAAGCCATGTAATGAAAGCTGTGGATGTAAATCTACACTTTGGATCGGTTGATTCCTTATTTTCAAAGTCGATGGGTTTGATTTCACGACGCGTCAGGATATCATGCAGCAGATCTTTATCGGGAACGTAGTGCAAGTTCATGATATTCTGTCTTTCCATGAGCTCTCTGAACTCCTTGGTTAGAACTTCTTTTCTGTTGACATAGAGCCATCGCAAACGACGTATCATGGAGCTGGTATACATCTTCATGCTCTTCTTGGATATCGTTTTCTTGCGGATAGCTTCCACTGATGCTTCGAGCGCTGCTTCGTCCTGTACGCTTAAGTTGTCCCACAAAGCAGACTCAGCTTCTGTAGAAGAATGTTTTCTCTTTGGTCGGCGCGCAGTGGCACCCAATCGACCGGGTCGATGTTTGCTGCTACGAGACAGTTCAATGTGTAGCAGAGACGAAGCCAGGCATGCACGGTCAAGTCGGTGTCGGCCGACTTACCTGAGAAGACCTTCAATGATGGAAGCTTGACCGGTCCCGTAACGGCGAAGTATGGCCGAATAGGAGGCAGGGATGATGCCGCCACGACAGCGTTACGGTAGTACCTTGGGCTGCTGCTGCGAGGGCATCGAAGGGGGAGGCGTCGACGACTGCGGCGGTTGCGCCGCGATGGCCGTGGCACCGGGGTCGGCAACGTGGCTGCTCGTGCCTGTGCGAGCTTGAGGGCTCGCAGTTCCTCACGGGGTTGACGAGAATCCTCGCAATGCATACGAAATTCTTCACGTTGGAGCAAGAGAATCTCTTGCTGCTGCCTATGAAGCATGTCCATGAGGTCTTGGAGGCAAGGCTGTCCGGCTATAGAGAATGCGCCGGTAGGCCTGATTGGAGCAGCCTGAGTGCGAGTAGTCTCGAGGGCTTCCGATGCGATCAGAAGTGTCTCTCTAGCGTTGATGGAGGGCTGCTATAGGCCTGAATTGATGGCTGCTATAGGCCTGAATTGATGGCTGCTATAGGCCTGAATTGATGGCTGCTACAGGCCTGAATTGATGGCTGCTATAGGCCTGAATTGATGGCTGCTATAGGCCTGAATTGATGGCTGCTATAGGCCTGAATTGATGGCTGCTATAGGCCTGAATTGATGGCTGCTATAGGCCTGAATTGATGGCTGCTATAGGCCTGAACGTGCTCTACCGCCACGGGATTCCTCCCTCCGCATTCATACGTTCTTTGCCGAGTTTGAGCGCAACCGCCACGATTTCCAGCAGGCGGAAAACGAAAAGCACAGATAGTGCTAATGCTTTTCAGTGGGGTTTTGAACGTTTTAGGAATGGCTGGCACGAGTCTACAACTGCCTACCGGTGCTCTTAAGCTCGACTTCCACTCGAATCCAAGTCCAGTTGGTGTGCACACCTCACTGACTTGGCAGGAGTCATAACGAACCGTTCGGGGTGACAGGCCGACGCGGTAACTGGCAGAGCTCGGAAGGTTGATATCAATCCTGTATATTCTTATTTTGTACCAAGATTGTATGGTAAAAAGTTTTGATTCCGGTACAACAAAAAGTACGAAATGGCCGAACAAGAGGAGGAGAATGCCTGGCACTGGACATAAGTGCCGGAAATGTGGTGGCAACTTTCATGCAGTATGTGCCAGCTTTCGAAGAGCTCAATCCCTCTGAGATGCTCGCCCGGCAGAGTCACCAATATTCTGAGGCGGGTTCGAGCTTGCGATGGTCCTGCCATGCATGGAGGGTTGGTGGTGGTGACGGGAGTGATGATGCTGGCTTCGTTGATGTTGAGGCTGATCACCAAGCTGCGACTGAGCTACAAGATTGTGAATGCGCATAACGAATGCGACAAGTTCTTCTTCCAAGAGCTTCTGCGAGATGTGGAAACAAACTCGGTAGATTGGGCGAACTCAAGGGAGGAGAGTTGTAGGTACGCAGCTCTCGCTCTATCTTGCGTTGCCGTGATGCTTCGACCACACAAGAAGGTGGAGCTGGGCGATTCCCAACGAGCGTATCATCCGTCAGATTGCAAATGAGTTGAGGGCACGACAAGGAAGCGTCTTGGTGGACTTTGGGTGCGGAAGAGGTTACTGGAGTCATCTGATAGCGCGGGAATACCCTTCAGCAAGGATAGTCGCGGTAGATAAGAATGAGGTACTGCAAACGATGAGTCTCTTTCACTCTTGATGCTGCTGCGAAGAGCTGGTATCGCAATGATAAGCATTATGAAATCAAAGACGGGGTAGGTGGGAACAATCCTTTTGAACTCTGAAATATTGTCCGGGGCATAGGATTTAAAGGATGTACGAGAGCATCTTTCAGATTCAAACTCCATTCTTCTTTTGGTTTGGCCTCCCTGCTGGTCGTCAATGGCTCTTGATTGCTTGATGAAATTCAAGTCCGTCAGGAGGCTTCAGGGGTTGAGCCTTGACCTTGCGATGTAGAGGCGACCTGATGATCTTCGTGGGTGAAGAGATGGGAGGCAAGACAGCGAGCAGGTTCTTGGGCTCTTGACGTTGGAGGTTTAATCCTTGTCTTCTCAGGCCCTTCTTTGTTGAGCTAGAATCGCCGAGATGGGAGCTGCGCAAGAGAGTTGACATCCCGAGGTACTCGCAGGCGCAGGAGGCGAGTGGTGATGACCGATCTGCTGCCTCCAAGTTGGCCAGGATGCAAGGATGCAGCCTTCCTCTACGCCCGCACATCCCGACACCATGGAAATCAACCTTGACAGGTTCCTTCCTGATCCCGTAAGCGATCAGCGATACTGACACTCAAGGAAACGAGTGTCAGCTGTAACTTTAACCTCGAGTAAACGAGTCAACTGTAACTTTAACTTGAGTAAACGAGTGTCAGCTGTAACTTTATCTAAGAGTAAACGAGTGTCAGCTGTAACTTTAACTTGAGTAAACGAGTGTCAACTGTAACTTTAACCTCGAGTAAACGAGGGTCAGCTGTAACTTTATCTAAGAGTAAACGAGTGTCAACTGTAACTTTAACCTCGAGTAAACGAGTGTCAACTGTAACTTTAACTTGAGTAAACGAGTGTCAACTGTAACTTTAACTTGAGTAAACGAGTGTCAACTGTAACTTTAACTTGAGTAAACGAGTGTCAGCTGTAACTTTAACCTCGAGTAAACGAGTGTCAACTGTAACTTTATCTAAGAGTAAACGAGTGTCAACTGTAACTTTAACCTCGAGTAAACGAGTGTCAACTGTAACTTTAACTTGAGTAAACGAGTGTCAACTGTAACTTTAACTAAGAGTAAACGAGTGTCAACTGTAACTTTAACCTCGAGTAAACGAGTGTCAACTGTAACTTTAACCTCGAGTAAACGAGTGTCAACTGTAACTTTAACTTGAGTAAACGAGTGTCAGCTGTAACTTTAACTTGAGTAAACGAGTGTCAACTGTAACTTTAACCTCGAGTAAACGAGTGTCAACTGTAACTTTAACTTGAGTAAACGAGTGTCAACTGTAACTTTAACCTCGAGTAAACGAGTGTCAACTGTAACTTTAACTTGAGTAAACGAGTGTCAACTGTAACTTTAACTTAGAGTAAACGAGTGTCAACTGTAACTTTATCTAAGAGTAAACGAGTGTCAACTGTAACTTTAACCTCGAGTAAACGAGGGTCAACTGTAACTTTAACTTGAGTAAACGAGTGTCAACTGTAACTTTAACTTGAGTAAACGAGTGTCAACTGTAACTTTAACCTCGAGTAAACGAGTGTCAACTGTAACTTTAACTTGAGTAAACGAGTGTCAACTGTAACTTTAACCTCGAGTAAACGAGTGTCAACTGTAACTTTAACTTGAGTAAACGAGTGTCAGCTGTAACTTTAACTTGAGTAAACGAGTGTCAACTGTAACTTTAACTTGAGTAAACGAGTGTCAACTGTAACTTTAACCTCGAGTAAACGAGTGTCAACTGTAACTTTAACTTGAGTAAACGAGTGTCAACTGTAACTTTAACTTGAGTAAACGAGTGTCAACTGTAACTTTAACTTGAGTAAACGAGTGTCAGCTGTAACTTTAACCTCGAGTAAACGAGTGTCAACTGTAACTTTATCTAAGAGTAAACGAGTGTCAACTGTAACTTTAACCTCGAGTAAACGAGTGTCAACTGTAACTTTAACTTGAGTAAACGAGTGTCAACTGTAACTTTAACTTGAGTAAACGAGTGTCAACTGTAACTTTAACCTCGAGTAAACGAGTGTCAACTGTAACTTTAACCTCGAGTAAACGAGTGTCAACTGTAACTTTAACTTGAGTAAACGAGTGTCAGCTGTAACTTTAACTTGAGTAAACGAGTGTCAACTGTAACTTTAACTTGAGTAAACGAGTGTCAGCTGTAACTTTAACCTCGAGTAAACGAGTGTCAACTGTAACTTTATCTAAGAGTAAACGAGTGTCAACTGTAACTTTAACCTCGAGTAAACGAGTGTCAACTGTAACTTTAACTTGAGTAAACGAGTGTCAGCTGTAACTTTAACTTGAGTAAACGAGTGTCAACTGTAACTTTAACTTGAGTAAACGAGTGTCAACTGTAACTTTAACCTCGAGTAAACGAGTGTCAACTGTAACTTTAACTTGAGTAAACGAGTGTCAACTGTAACTTTAACTAAGAGTAAACGAGTGTCAACTGTAACTTTATCTAAGAGTAAACGAGTGTCAACTGTAACTTTAACCTCGAGTAAACGAGGGTCAACTGTAACTTTAACTTGAGTAAACGAGTGTCAACTGTAACTTTAACTTGAGTAAACGAGTGTCAACTGTAACTTTAACCTCGAGTAAACGAGTGTCAACTGTAACTTTAACTTGAGTAAACGAGTGTCAACTGTAACTTTAACTTGAGTAAACGAGTGTCAACTGTAACTTTAACTTGAGTAAACGAGTGTCAACTGTAACTTTAACCTCGAGTAAACGAGTGTCAACTGTAACTTTAACTTGAGTAAACGAGTGTCAACTGTAACTTTAACT